ATCCTAAACATTCTACTTGGTAATAAAGTGATTAAGGCGTGCATTCTTTTTGAAATACTAATTTATCCTCTGTTGATATACAACCAACATGTTTGGTGATCTAATTAAATCTAAAAATTACATAGGCCTAACCCTAATCTGCACAAAGCTGTAGTCAGCTTTTTATTTAATTTAAGAGTAGCATTAATTTGTATGTTTAATAAAAGCGGTAAACGGCAGATGATAAAAAAAACAAAAATATCTCAGCAAAACCTTCAGCGGCTATATCCCCACAAGACATCCCATTTTTTTCGGTTTTCTGATATACAACTTGCATATTTGTCCAAAAACATTTTTACATCCATCTCATAGTACAACTCCAAACTCCTGACTTCTGAGTATGCAGCATACAACTGCTTTCTACTTACGATAGCTTCCGAGTCACGAAAAATAAACAACGCAAAATTGAGGAATAAGATTTATACACGCGTGTTAATTTCCGATTTCCCTCTATAAGCATATAAAATCAAATGACAGGTTGTTCTTTCTTTTTTCGTCTTTTTATGTCAGAACAAAAATTGAAAAATGGTTGTATTCTGTTTTCTGTTTTTTCATTTCAAATCCAAAATCCTTTGGCCACCAAGTACATGGTTGATGACAATCCTGTCCTGAACACATTTCTATGCCAATATTATACACATCTTTTCATTTGTTTAACTCCATTAACTGTACATTATTTCAAGTTATACAAAACAACTTGTAACCGAATATGGCCTTATATATACTTATATATATATATTTGTTAAACTGTTTATTGTGAGGTGGTAACCATTTTTGTTATACCAAATGGATCTTGATATGGTCCACATTTAAATAATAATGTGAATTGTCAATAATAAAAAAAAAATCTTATCTTGGAAATAAATCTGAAGTGAGCATTCAGGATTGTTTGCTTCACCCTTATGAGTTTAACCTGTCAGTCAGTGTTTTCCCCCTTCTCTTTTGTCAAGCTTTCCAGCCTTTTCCCCTGTGTTTTGGATTTGGACTTCTGCTGTGGTCACTTTAGTGTTCTCCTTCGTGTTTCCCATGTGGATGATCTTTTTGCAGTATTTCCTGGACTCTTGTATTTGGATTGTATGTCCTGCATTTTGGGTCAGAATCCCTCAAGATTAAGGAACATGTGCATGGGCGTTCTTATCAGAGTTCCAGTTATAATGTGGAAATATGATATTCAGGCAACATATAATTAACATTTCATGGATATTATTTCCTTTTATTATTTACATGTGTGTTTTAATTCACGCTTCTCATGTAAAGAAGCCAGTACCTGTGAAAATGTGGAATTCACATGGGAAGGTGTACACTTCTTACATACAAACTTCCATTGATGTGTATGTGATGTGAAAAAAGCCATTCTCTCTCTAGTTCTCCAGTCTTCAGTTCACATATGACAATATTTTCTTTTCACATGTTAAAATGTCAGTTGGAAAACTACATAACTGCACCACAGCCAACATCTAGTGTGGAGGGGACAGACATCATGTTGATAAAATAATTATTTTAGTCGCAACGTCATCTGACAAAATCCGCATAAAGCCAGGTTAGTGCACAGCTGAGCTGTGTGATCAGACGTTTAAAATGTGTGATCACAGAGAAAGACCACAGAAGGTTGTCTCTTTAACTTCACTGCCACAGAGCCCCAACCCTCATTGGCCAACAACTTACGTCATGGTTTTTTTTGAACTCTGTTTTAGAGGATAAAAACGTTATTTGTGGATGTACTCTTAAGCGAGCATAAAGGACTGAAGGACACATCGTTCTGACTTCTCGTGACTTGACCAGTTTCATCAAAATTGTCTCTTTTCCACAGCCTGAAAGATATTGGAATCATAAAGACTTCATTCACTCAATTAAAAACTGCAATCACAAAAATTGAAATTTACATTGGGGCTTAAGAGGGCACAATCTGTGATTCAGAAGTAAGCAGAGAGACAGGCACTACAAATCAAATCAATGCTGTCATTCATTCTTTAATACAATAACAGAAAACAATGAAGTAGCCTCTGAGTGTATTTTATGTTGTGTTTCCAAGACTATTTTCATCTTTGCGAAACTCACAAAATGCTGATTTTCCTGTTAGAAGTGCATAAAGATAATTTATACAGTCAAAGATGCACTATAAGATGTGAATAAAATACCAACTGATTTCAGAAGTCTGCTTCAGAAAATGACTCATTACTTCCGTATCAGAGACCCCAGCTGACAAAACGGGTTAAATACAGTGTAATTTCATCTGCTCTGTGATTAATGTTGACAGAATCTTTTGCACAGCACTGCTCTTCCCTAACGCCAAATATGTCTACGTAGACTTCTGCTACTGGAACAACTTGTTTATAAGAGGTCAACCAGGCTATCAGTCATTTCTGGGGTGTAATTTAGCCCAAATATTAGGGACATATATTTGTAAAATATATCTGTGTAATAACAATGCTATAATTTGTCTATTTTGTCCCCTTCATCTAGTGTGCAAGTCAAGTTTGAGTCAAGTTTACTGTGAATAAAGTTTGAATCTTTTAGCAGTTGTGTTTCCAGCACTTCTGATTATTATGGTTAACAGCTAAAGGGAGACCGTCTCAAACATGGGAAACCTAAGCTCATTTTTATAGATTTGTGCAGCTCTTTAATGTTAGCTAAGTCAGTGGGGGCCTGCACAGCCACAGGGGTCCATATTTACAGCAGAGTAGCTAAGGGCCCCACATCGGCACTTTACAGAGCACACTTCCCAAAGATGAAATTAAAACCTACGTGGAAAAGGGAATGTTTCTCCATTTGGGAGCGGGTATCAGATGAAGACATCACATCCATCAGTGCGGATGTCGAGCTCACTGATGGAGAATGAAACGGGTGAGGGTGCAGGCGGGAGGCCCGCTCTGAAAAGATCCAAGACAAGGCGTATAATCAAATGTCACAGCATGACCAAAGCAGGACTAAATTACGAAATAAAACTGTCCGAGGACTTTGTCAGAGCTCCAAAAGGCTGTGACTGCAGATGGCCTCCCTAAACTCACTTAATCAGTCATCCATCTTTTTTATTGACTGCTACTAATGTTTAGCTGTGGGGCAACTAATGGACAAATCTATCTATCTATCTATCTATCTGTCTGTCTATCAACTTTGGATAACTTCTATAAATGCATGAACCTCTATGGGAACTGTTACCATGATTGTTATTGCTTTTGTTGCTATTGTACAATTGGTCACACAAGGATCATTTTTCTGTTAAAAAATCAACCATAGTGGGGAAATGTGTGTTAGTAATTTGGGTGAACTAATCCTTTCATATTGACTTTATTTGTATTTCTTTCCTAATTTTGAAGGGGGTCATCAGTTTAATGTTTCTGTAAGTATGAAAGTTCAGTAAAAATAAAGCTGTAAACTGAATCTGCTGAGGAAGACTTATCTCTGGCAAGAAGCCATAAATTGGACCATGAGGGTTTTTATGGGTTTTTCCCTTTTCTTTTTTTTCCTTCTTTTTTTTGTCAAATTGTGTTTTTTTTTACAAAATAAAAAAATCTAATGGCTGACATTGTGGAATAATTTCTAAATAAGTAAATTCTGTTCTGGTTTAACGTCACTTCATGACCAGCGGTACTGCCATTCTTACTTTTGATATTAACAAATATTGGTAATGGTGGTACTACTAGTAGTAGCTGTAGCAGATGTTTGTCTTGTAATACTGTGGTGGGTGAGGTAGTGCAGTAATGCCGCTGACTGCTGCCAGGCCTCTGCATCTGTTTCCATGCTGAGAGTCAATGTAACCCCCCCTCCCCGGTTATTTAGTTTTATTTCCCTAAATGAAGGTCTGATTGCGCCACACTGCCTGGAATAAAATTCTGCTGGAGAACACTGAGTTCTTAAGGCTGGCCATCAAACCTCAGTACATCTGGAGTCAAGACAGTGTCAAGTATCAAAAGCTGCCATTGAATGCTTTGCCAGATTCTCTGCTTTGTTTGCTTATTGTTTGCTCAGACACTCCCTGATTTCAGGCACAAAAAACATTTCTAAGTTTAGACATTTAATTTAGGCAAAACTTTTTGAAATAAAAAAATGAAATGGTCTAACATAAACAATTGCCTTGAAATGTTGAAATTTCTTGTTTCATTAAAAATTGTAACAAACAAACAATTCTCTTCAGAGAAGATATATATTTTGTTCAAAGTAAAACCACCAGCCAACTGTCATGGAACATTTGATCTAAAGAAGTTCTGATAAGGCATCAGGACATGTTTGTTTCAGATTGCTTCATAATGAGAGCAGAATGTTTTCAGGAGAAATCAGTTTGAGAAATGGCATTTCTCGAACTGATTTATGTTTGATTTACCTTATGTTCACCACTTCTATATTTTTAAAAAGCAAAGTTATAAAGGGAGAATACATGAAAATACCTGCAACACATTGAAGGTATTTTCAGAAAGCAAAAGGTGTTATTATATGTGTGTCCTGGCTCTTTGCTGTTGACTTATAATATATGATGCTGTTTTTTTTGTTGATTTGTTTTGTTTGGGGGGGGGGGTCTCAGGCCAGGGTGATGGCCTCCTCTGTCACTCTCAAGTGTCATCATGCTGATTTATGGCTCTCTCTACACAACACAGTGCATGCTCTGATTTTCCACTAGCAGTGATATTTTTCGATTAACGGCTTGATGAGAGTTCATTATTTGTGTTTCTGAGTGTAATTGGCAGGAGATTGACGCGGAGCGGGTTTACCCACATTGGCACGAGCTCACCCGGTGTTCAAACGCGCGGTGCCAATTACGCCATGTATGCAAATGAGGATAAAATCACGCGGAGAGAAACATTTCCTTGTTTTTGTGACAAATTATCTAATTTTAGAGAGAAAGTGTTAAGTGGGCTTGCTCCACTTTCTAATTGGACTCCTCCTCTCCGCCGTGCCCTCTAATTACCGCTCCCCGGTATCTGACTGCATCACACACTCTGAGAGCGAGAGAGAGAGAGCGCGCGCGCAAGAGCGAGAGAGAGAATAATTGATTGTCTTCCAGTCAGCAGTAACTTGTTACTGGTGGTCAAACGCTGCTGCTTTTGGTGCATCACCGACCACCGGATGGGTTCGGCTCGTGCCTTGTTGTGCGTCACCCTGGAAAAGTGGCTCGGAGACGTGGTGGGTCTGGACGTCAGAAGTGTCCATGCAGCCTGCAGCTCAGCGGCCAACATGCGGCTGGAGAGACACCTGTGATCCGAGCTGCCGTCCTGTTATCTCTCTTTGTACAACTTCACCGCAGCCTGGCAGCTTGTCCCCGCTTTGAATCGCTCTTGTCTAAATTGCCACAGTCAGGTGTGACCCGCCGAGCCGCCATGAACTCCAAGGACGACTCGAAATGCCCAGCAGTGCTGGAGGAGCGGAGGCGCAGTCCGCTGGATCAGCTCCCGCCGCCGGCCATCTCCAACAAGCCGCTGACACCTTTCAGCATCGAGGACATCCTCAACAAGCCGTCAGTGAAAAGGAGCTACTCCCTGAGCGGGGTGGAGCGCCACATCTCTCCCTCGGCGGGTCACCGCCTGTCAGGCCGGGCGGTGCTCAGTCAAACCTCCCCGCTCTGCGCGCTCGAGGAGCTGGCCAGCAAAACCTTCAAGGGCCTGGAGGTCAGCGTCCTGCAGGCTGCCGAGGGTAAAGGACTTTCATGCTTCTCTTCAGTTCGTTATCTTGTTGTTATGTGAATTGTAAACACCACGCTGTTGCAGCTAGTATTTAAAATCATAATTTTCTTTTCAGAAAAAATACAGTTCGAGCCCGCGTGCTTTGGAGAGATAAACAAAACGAGATAAATTTAAATTTATTTATAAATATTTTTAGTTTGTGATTCTAGAATACTCTGCGACTTGTTTTGTGTAAAAAACTAAAAGCAAAAATATAATTTCTGGAAAATAAAACAAAAAAGGTTATTATTATTATTATTATTATTATTATTATTGGCTATATTTACAGAAGGCTCCTTATCAAGTTTGAATTGCATTTACATTGTAGGCTATGTATTATTATGTAGGCTATTATTAATGTGTAACATTGTTACATAGGGCATTACCAAAGAAATATATTTAACTGAAATGTAGCCTAAAATCACCCTAAAGTTATTTTCATACAAATGAAAATAAGTGTATAATCTAAACCAATTTTCTAATTCAAATTTGGAATGGACATACAAGAAACAGTATTTGTAGAGGATGTTTTTGAGACTAATATCTGGTTTAGCATCATCAATTCCATATTTACAATTTACTTTAATAAATAACAATTATAATGTTATCTTTAATTATAAATTTTATCTTTGGAAATAATACAGAATTTTATATATAGCCTATTGTGTGTGTGTGTATTTTTTATGAGCTACATCTGATAATTGATCACACTGTCTAGACTTAAAAGAGTCATACAGCAGTCATTCTACTTGGGCAGTATTTTATTTTGGAGTGGCTGTGAAGTGTTTGGTGGCTTGGGGACGCAGGTGCATTGCTAAAGGCTTGTGGACATGAACCGTTCATGTTTTAATATTATTTTTTGTGCCTTAGCCTAAATGACCCAATATATCCCTTTTCCCACAGGCCGAGACGGTCTGACGCTCTTCGGCCAGAGGAACACACCTAAGAAGCGGCGGAAGTCCCGCACGGCGTTTACCAACCACCAGATCTACGAGCTGGAGAAGCGCTTCCTGTACCAGAAGTACCTGAGCCCGGCGGACCGGGACCAGATCGCCCAGCAGCTGGGTCTGACCAACGCGCAGGTCATCACCTGGTTTCAGAACCGGCGGGCCAAGCTCAAGCGGGACCTGGAGGAGATGAAAGCGGACGTGGAGTCCGCCAAGGCCTCGGGCTGTGTGGCCTTTGAGAAGCTCTCCAAGCTGGCCGAGCTAGAGAAGTGCGCTGCTGGAGGGATGGTTTCAGCGCCAGGCCACACCGAGCCGAACCCGGTCTCTGCCAGGTCCCACCACGACACCACCGAGAACCTCGACTCCGGCAGACCGCACAGTTCGCCTCTTTCCCCCGCATCGTCGTGGTGCACGGGCCGGCTGAGCAGCAAGTGCTGCTCGGAGGAGGAGGATGAGGAGATTGACGTGGATGACTGAAGTTGCATATGTCCATGGTCACCGAGACCACGGTGTGGAGTGCCAAATAACGCGATGTTTCTAGACAGAACACCTAGCTTTACAAGCACACGCAGCGATGCGGTCAAACTATCCAGAGACAACAGCCACAGCGCTTTGATTTGACAGAAGCCACGGGCCCACTGCTTTCTGCTGATGACCAGGCGCGCGCCCAGAAAACGCGTGACACAGGGCGTGACAGAGAGACATTCAAAAGTAAAAACGCAAAAAAGCAAACAAGGTGCACACTCAAACACACACGAGCCGGCTGGATATTCTGGTCAATCGCTAAAATATTTCACCGCATGCTTTTATTTTGAAATGGTTGGGAAAGCTTCTACAAATCGTTTTTTAAGCGTTCAGCTTTTTGATATGTCAATTGTTCTGAAATGATAATCACACACAGAAAATCTATGTAGCTAATAGCTTGTAATAAATCTCAATTTAATATATTATAATGCTTTGTAAACCTTCAAGTGCCTTTAGAAAACACATAACACGTTTAACTGTACAAAGTGTAATGTAAACTGACCATGTAAAATAAAAAACATTTTCAAATAGTCTCCCTTTCACACATTTATTTAAATTATTTCTATGGAATACGACAAAATGAACCTGTCGTTTTTAATGCCGTCATTGGGGCCTCATCATAGTTTTGCTCGGGGTAGAGGTTTCGTGGGTTTGGGAGGATTGTGGCGCAGAAACAGCGACGTTTGCCAAATCCATTTACAACAGCAACTTGCCCTCTGACATCGTGTGTGTATTTTAATTTTTCTCTGTGGGAAACACAATCTGGAGCGAGAAGAGGCCTGAAGTGTGTGTGTGTGTGTGTGTGAGTGTGTGTGTGTGTTCCCCGGGGGCCTCTCTCCAGCAGCGCGCAATACGGAGACAAGCGTTTCTCCCCGCCGATCTGTCCGGGGGTCTCAGCGCACAAAGGCGGCCAGGAGAGTGTTTCAGAGGCCATATGGTTTCAGGGTTCTCCTCTCATTTACGAGTCACTTTGATTGATTAACTTAACCCGTCTTTTCAGCGACATAGGGCCCCTTTTTGTCCCACACAATGCAGACATCCTCGCTGGTGTCCGGGCCCACTGCGTTAACACACGGCCATGAATGTGAATGGAGCTCGGTGGGCTGGTCAGAGCCTCGTGTCCGTGCGGGAGCGTTAAAATAATTGACTTGAAGATGACAGCGCTCTCAATCTCACACTTCATCATTCTGCTTTTCATCAGATATCTGCAGCCTTTTGCTCATGTAGTCTGCAGTTACTGAGACCAGAGTTCGCCCAAATAAACAGATAGCAACAAGTCCGTTTCTACACATAAATACAAATACAATTAGGAACATATCATCTCATATCATTTAATTCAATTGGGGTATATTGGCATTGGCATATTTTTATATTTCTTACTGGGACTCAGTGTACCCATGCAATTACTTGATTTTGACCAGAAAAATCTTAACTCAAGGTCCACTTTTCTTGGAGCTTTTAACTCAAATGAGATCATTTTCATGTAAAGAAATGAACAATTGTTCATATGATGTTTCTTTCAAATAACCTACTAAACATTTCAATGACAGAATCTAGGTGGTAGGCCTACTATAAATAATAATGTTAGTTGAGGAACTGTATGAAATGAAATGTAAGTGCATAAATAAAGAAAAGAAAACATATGTTCTCTCCATGGTTTCTCCATTATTAGATATATGGTTTCTTTTCTTTATTTACTTAATCTACTACCCTGCACATAGGCCTTCTGTACACAGTATACTCCCTGTGTGCCTGTGCAGAAAGCTGGCGCATGATGCTCTGGGCAGGGACATTCTGAGTGTTTTAGCTTTTCATTAGTACACGTGAAGCACACTGCTGGAAAACTGTGTTACTTTAAGGAAGGAGATGTCGGCCAAACACTGCAGCCCCACACACACTACACACACACACACACACACACACACACACACAAGAGAGAAGAGAATCATTTATTCAATCGGCCGGAAAATTGAAGTTTGATGCATGGCCCCCTGCTTAAACAACTGGACCTGACACCGCCCCCCCCTCCCTTTCTTCCTGGTGGACCTCTAAACTGGCTGCTAGCATCTGAGAGCTGCCAACACAATGACAAATATATTTATATACAAGAGAATTATTCATCTTCATTGTTATATCAACTACAAATTATTATTATTAACAGCAGTTGTAGTATGATAAAATATTGCATTCGAATTTGTGAGATTTCTAAATTGCATTTGTCAATTTTAGCTTTGCTTATTGTTATTAAAATTTTTATCCAATTTCCCATAGAAATCTGTACTGTTTTATTATTATTGTTAATAATGAGTATGGTAGTAGTAAAACACTTTTTTTAAATTTCATTTACTGCAGTTATGGAATGGGATAATTACTGCTTCATATATGTTAGTGGTAGCAGTAATCACATTGATTAGTATTATTACTACAACTATTATTATTATTATTAACAGCAGTAGGAGTACTAGAAAGTATTATATGCAAATGATGTGAGATTTATAAATTGTATTTGTCAATTTTAGCTTTGCTTAATGTTGTTTAAATTATTATCAATTTCCCATAGAGATCAGTACCATTTATTTATTATTATTGTTAATAATGATATAGAAGTATAGTAGTAGTAGTAGAATGCTTTTTTATTATTTTTACTACAATTAAGAAATGGGATAATTACTGTATCATATACATTATTGGTTGTAGTTTTAATAATCTAATAATAAGCACTATTATTATTACTACTAATAAAAATTGATACATTGTTTATTATTGTTATTACAATGATAATAAACATACATCCATTATTATAGTACAAAAATACACCATGCTTTGAGCAGTTACATCTAATAATCAGTGAACACAGGCTCTCATGTCCTGGGCTGTGCTGTCCTGTGCTGTCCTGTGCTGTCCTGTGCTGTGCTGTGCTGTCCTGTGCTGTCCTGTGCTGTGCTGTGCTGTCTGTGCTGTGCTGTGCTGCTGTGCTGTGCTGTGCTGTCCTGTGCTGTCCTGTGCTGTCCTGTGCTGTCCTGTCCTGTCCTGTCCTTTCCTGGGCTGTGCTTGTGCTGGGCTGTGCTGTCCTGTGCTGTGCTGTCCTGTGCTGTGCTGTGCTGTGCTGTCCTTTCCTGTGCTGTCCTGTGCTGTGCTGTCCTGTGCTGTCCTGTGCTGTCCTGCTGTCCTGTGCTGTCTGTGCTGGCCTTTCCTGTCCTGTGCTGTCCTGTCCTGTGCTCTGCTGTCCTGTCCTGTCCTGTCCTTTCCTGTTCTGTCCTGTCCTTTCCTGTTCTGTCCTGTCCAGTCCTTTCCTGGGTTGTGCTGGGCTGGGTGAGTCTGCAGTAGCTCTGCCTGAGGAGCAGTGTGTTAAGCAGGCGTCTGCGCTCTGTGTTTCTGTGTGTCAGGACGGAGCTGAAGAAATGAGCCTCTGCCGCAGGGCACAGCTTGATTGATCACTAAATAGAGCGGATTTGAAAGTTTTAGTTATAACGTTCCTGTAGAGCCCCTTAAACTTCAAACTTCAATTTTACGGGCTATTGAACTAAGCGTGTCCCTGACAAAATTGATATATGTATTAATTTACTTTAACCGGTGATTAATTACTATCCACAAAGAGAATCATCCCAGACTTTCTCCCTCCCCCCTCTGAATTTGCATATTAATCAAATTCTAGTTGATAATTCAGATTGAAAAATTGATTTAGCAGTGCTGAAAGGCATATCTCTCTCTCTCTCTCTCTCTCTCCCTCTGTTTCCTCAGATACACACAGCCGTACCCCACCCCTCCCCCCACCTCCCCCAGGGCTTGAGCTCTCTCTCTCTCCTTGGCTGCTAAGCTGCTTGTCGAGTGTATTAAAATCAGAGGTGCAGAACGAGCTCGGCTGGCTATTTGGTGAAAACAGAAATTGCATGTCCACTTTTATGATGTGTTCATGCTGAGCAGGCGCTTCTTAATGCAGCTTGTCAGAGCAGCCTGGGATTTACAGAAGGCAGGCAGGGAGCTATGGTGTGTGTGCATGCATGTGGGGTTGGGGGTATATGTACAATATGGGCTTGTGGGGGACACCTGTGTGTAAATTCAAGTGTATTGATAATAATGGGTATTACACACTTGTGTTCCCCTCTCTCTCTCTCTCTCTCTCTCTCTCAGGTGCGCTACTGATAAGGTGATTTGTGGGTGGCCCTACCCCATATTGAGGAAGGCTGGAGGAGAAGGAGCTCTTTGCCCGATGAAGCAGCCTTCTGGCGTAGTGCGTTTTGTTTTCTTTGCTGTGCAGCAAAGCTGCTGGAAGCCTGTTGTATCTATTGTTCTTGTGCCCTAAAAGTATAGTTTTCAAACTCAGCAGATAGGCTGGAAATTTCACTCGCCACTCAGACAATTGAAGTTGGCCAGATGGTGGCGCTATAACAACAAATTTAGTTTTTGTACTATAAGTCTAAGACAGAAAATATTTTGTTCCTGGATTCGTGGGTCCAAACCAATCTATCAATCTAAGCCATTCCCATTTACACCTTTTAGAATTTATTCCAAATCAGTTTTTTTTTTTTGCGACTCCTCCTAAAAATTTTTAGCAATCACTATCAACATTTTCATATGTCACACAGCTCAGCAGTTACCTGGCCTGCCTTACCCAGTGGACTCCTGCTCCTCGTGTCCAGTCGGCAGCCGGGCCGACTCCTGCTTCTTGCATCCAGTCTCTCCTGTTCTCACTACCCCTGTTAGCCCTGCAGTCACCATGATTATAAGAATGCGTTATGCAAACGGCGGGCTTCCCATGTGTTCATGCGTTTCATCAACCATAAATTCAAACAGACACATGTAGTTGAGTTAGCTTAGTTGATGTATCTGAAAGGCCGGTAAACACATGAAGCCCCGTGTTCCCTTTTTTTGGGTTGTTAGTGGTTTACATAGTTACATGTTTCAGTCTTTATGATATCAATATAAAGTTTATAGTGGTGTAGCACAAGCAGTAGACCTATTGAACATTTAACCTTTTGTCCTTAACCTTTAAATAATTTATCTAAATGCGGTTGTTACTTGAAAGAAGAACAGGGTCCATGAAGAGTAAAATATTTGTATCTTAAATATCTGATGTCAGTCGAAAAACACTGAATGAGAGGCACAAGGGTCATACCAAGTAAGCAGTCGGAATCCGGAGACCAGATTCCAAAATCCAAAGTCAGGGTCTAAAGGAAACACAGATAATCCAAAGCTATGCTACTGGGAAACTACAGTAGTAATGAGGCTGGGACATAAGATCAAGAGACAAAGACGAACTGGCAGAAGCCGCTTTCATACAGAGATATCACAATAAATACAGAAAGAATATCTGCCAATATCCTGCATTCGCTCATTCATACTGAACAACGTTTCTGGCATCACATACAAAAATATCCCAGCAATCCAGCTTTCCGGAACCA